TCCACGAGGCTCTGGGCTGTCCTGATAGGTGTGGAGCCCCAGTCAGGGCCAACAACCCACTGCTGCCAAGGGCGACCCTTCCTGAATAGCACGTGATCCCCACACCAGGGGCTTCTTACTGATAGGACAGAGACATGGATCCATGTCTAGGTTAGCACATGTTCAGGTTCCCTCCCACCCCACCTCTCTGCCTGTCCCCAAGTACTTTCTAGGCCATTGTCTTATGATGAATAGCACTTTAATATGGGTATTAAAAAATATGGGCAAATGTGTAATGCTTGCAAGCTGTGTTCCATTATTGACGCTATGCTTGAAAGCCAAGCAGGCAGCTCAAGCCAGGCTGGGACTCAGCAGAGAAGTGATGACGCAGCAGCCCTGCAAGGCAGCCATCTGCCAGGCCTCCACTGGGCAGGGACGGGCACATAAGAGGCATAGTGATGAGGATGAACTCAGTCTCCAAAAGCTGACTTCTGGTTCTAAAGTCTCCATTTTTCCTCTCCATCATGTGTGTGGCTGGCAGCATGGATCCTCCTTGCACCTCAGACTACTCTTCTCTGAAAACTGCAAAAAGTCCACAAGAAGACCTTGCTCCCACCCCAGGGCTAGGCACATGCAAGCTGTGGCTGCCATTGTAGCCCTGCGATGGGATTCAGGGTCATCCCTCCCCTACTTCCTGACAGAGGAGACACAAGCATCCTGCTCTGACCTTAAGCTCTGTCTCTGTCTCTCTGTCTGTCTGTCTGTCTGTCTCTCTTTCTCTCCCCCTGTCCTATGCAGGCTTGCCTCCTGTCCTCTTTGGTTCCTAGAGCAGTACCTTGACATGGTGAGTGCTCTGGACTGGACAGGAGCTGCTTTTCTTGCCCTGACCTGGCCTGTACTGTCCCTGCTACTCCTGTTCCCTTATGCCTGCCTTTCTAACACAGTGGCCACACCTCTGCTTCCTTCCCCTTGTCACGAGCCCTAGCTGAAGGAGAAATACCCACCCCAGAGCCTTGGGGGCTGTGGCCAGAGAAGCAGCCCACCAGGCTCTACCTAACAGTCTCCCAAGTTATTAAATGTCCAGAGCATCAGGAGGGCTCAGAGACAGGCCTTGGCAGGGGCTTCCCACTGTTCCTTTCTAAGAAACTGTTCCAGCTTCCCACTCCCCACTATGGTCTTTCACAAAGGAGACTCCTGGTAAGAAGGTGCTATTGTTAGAATGTAGGTAGTGCTTCCCAAGGGTCATGTGATAAAGACTTGGTCCCCAGAGTGGTGCTGTTGGGAGGTCACTGGGAACATGCCCTTGGAGGGGATGGTGGGGCCTCGGTCTCTCTCTGCCTCCTGGCTTCTGCTGGAAGTGTTTTGCTTCGCCCTTTGCTCCCAACATGGGAGGCCAATCAACAGAGGCAACCTCCTAGGGAGCCTCCAGTCTTGCACTGGAGCCTCCAGAACCCTGAGCCAAAGAAACCTTTTGATACTGCTTCAGGTGTTCCATTCCAGTAGCAAAGCCAAGAGGGCAGCCATGTAGTGTGTGTTGCCTGCCCTTCAGGCTTTCAGGGAAGTGTGCTCTGGAGTCTTCCTAGGGTAAATTGGCCTCCCCAAGGGAAGCATGGCAGCCCTAGGTTAGCTCACTTGGTGTAGGGCTAAGTTTAAGTCTGGATGTCTATTTTCTGCCAACCAGAGCATTCACAGCGTGCAAGAACCTGCCCATAGGTGAGCAGAGAGGTTCCAAAAATAGGAACAATAGTATCTGCAGCCTGTCCATGAGCCTTTTTATTCTTTTTCCAGTGTATGTGGGTGGGGGGATTGTTTTTCATATGTGGGTGTACATAAGTGTGCATTTAGAGGCCCATGGTTGCTCTTGGGAATTGTCTTCAATAGTTTTTCCATCATACTCAGTTAGGCAAGGATATGGCTAGTCTGGCCAAGTTGCATTTGGTAGGGATTCAAATTCAGGTCCTTGCACTTGCATAGAGAACCACTGAGCAATTTCCCCAGCCTCTGTACATGAAGCCTTTAAAGAAAATAAGCAAGGTTCCCTCATGCAGGAACATCCAGCCATGGTGATGGAGTAGCTGCATATCAGGCCTTCTTAGTTTGAAGCACTTGAGGGTCACAGGCAAGACCTCACCTTTGTAGCTCATATTCTATGGTGAGAGACAAGAGCCTAGCAAAAGTGTAGGCACCATGCCCAGTGCTCTGAAAGGAATAGGACCTACTCTCAGAGGCTGGCAGGCAGAGAAGGCACATCAGACCCAGGCTTCCCCAGGGTGGAAAGTGAAAATGAGACCTCAATGCCCAGAAGTCAACACGACAGATGTGGTAAGGTCCCCATCAGAAGACAAGCGTCCAAGGCTAAGCTGCCCCTGGTGACAGATGTCAAGCTGAGGCTGGAGAGGTTCTGTGCTTAGCAGCAGGAGCTGGACTTCACAGTAGATGAGGCCCTCAGAAGGGAAGGGGTGGCCTGGGTCTGCCTTTTAGATTTGTCGGAGGTGGTGTGGGAGGAGCTAGAGAGAGAGTGCTTAGCCACGTGTGTTCATACTGCCTTTACAGGAGACCCAGGCTTGGTTCCCAGCACCCACACCAGGCATCTCACAACCTTCTGTAATTGCAACTCCAGGGGATCTGAGGTCCCCAGCCTCCATGGGCACCTGTGCTAAGACACAGACACATAATTAAAAATAATAAAAATAAATGTTTTTAAATGAGCAGGAAGTCAACCTGAAGTTGACCCAGCAGAACATGGTTGGCTTTTCCCTTGGACAGTGGTAGCACAGAGGAGATGATGCCGAGGTGGAAGATGCTCAAAGACAAAGCTCTGAGCCCCGGCTAGACCAGGATGAGGGGCTGGTGACCATGAAGCTGGGTGGGCAGTCTAAGGGTGTTTACTACCAAGGAAGGTGAATCTGTAGGGACACCAAGAGTCGCATGGTGACCCTGTGAAGCTCAGAGTGCTTGGGAGACATCCACAAGGGCTGGAGCCCCTCTTCAGTGAGGCCCAGGGCAGGAGAAGCACACGTGGAAGTCACTGACTCTAGACCACTTTGAACATATGCATGGGACGCGAGCCCACTGGGAGACAAAGAGCAGAGAGAAGGGCATGTGGCACAGTGTGAGGTAGGGAGGGACCAGTGGCAAGAGATTGTTTCCAGAAACCTCTTCCACCCGACCTCCAGCACTGTCAGCGTTCCCTGGGTTCTCTGGGACAGTAGGAGACCATGGTCCCTTCCTGCTCCTTCTCAGCCTTGCCTGCCCCTCCCTAACCCATCCGCACACGAGTGGCACCCCAGGCTCTGGCTGATGTAAGTCCCACCCTGGCTGACCTGGGGTCCTTGGAAAGCGCTGCCTGGCAGCCGTTCAGCTGCTGGCCTCTGTCATGGAGACGGCAGCAGCTGCAGGCGACGGACACTTGTGACCATTTGTCAGTACTCCCTTCCTCCCCAGCCTGCCCTTTTTGAGCATTTCTGTCCCACGGCCTTGGAGACAGGGCTCCTCCAGGGGTGGACGGGGGCAGGAGGCACTGTCTGAGTTGTACAGAAGAGCTCCCACCTGCCTGCTGACTGTCATCTGCTCTGTGGAGGCTCTTGTCCCCATGCGCCATGCAACAAAGAGTGGGTACTTCACATGAGGTGTCTTCCCACCTGCCTTCTGGCTGCTCCCCCCATTTTAGACAGGTAAATAGATAAAGAAATTGCTATACAGAGATGTCTGGGTTTGAAGCCAGAAGGCTCCAAGACCTTTGCCCACCCACATAGGAGTGGCCTTTACCACTGGGAGAGTGTGCAGGAAAGATTCAGTAACCCCTTGCTCATGGGTCCTCTCTCCTCCCAGGTCCAGCCCCACCCCCACCATGCCCAAACCTGCTGGTTCCATTGGATCTAGCCTACAAATATTTGCGCTTCATGGTTTGGCCTCTCCATTACCAAATACTCTAGGGCTGGGGTTGGGAGTGTGGCAGAATTGTCTCAAGCCTAGTTTCAAAGCTATGGCTGGTGTTCATAAGGAAGCAAGAAATTCAGAAGTCTAATACAAGCTGTAACCTTGTTTCAGGCATGTTGCCTCAAAACGTAGTTCATGAAATTCGGTGCTTAATACCTTGAAGCCGCTGCCCCTTGTCTAGTCTGGTGTTGCTTCCCTGGAGGCCAGGCAGACAGGCAGAAGACACCATCCCCAGGCCAGAGACCATGAGGACAAGGTGCCTCGGACCACTAGTCCCTATCTGACAGGAAGCAGGCACACTCGCCACACACACCTGCTCACTAAGCCCTTGCCCACTCCTGCTCCACCAACAGGCCCCTCCCATTCTTACCTGTCTGCTGACATTTCACCTTGCTCAGGGATCCTGGGAAAGCTGCTTTTCCTCATTCTCTGTGTTCTTCTCTGGTAACAGAGCCTCTTTTCTCAGAGCCCAGTCCTTACCCTAAGGCTCTTACAAAAAGAAATATGTGGGGGCCCGTGGAGCCAGACAGCACTATGGTTCAGTGGCTTCACCTCCCTACCACTGGGTTGACATAGGGTCAATTTAGCCCACAAAAGCTGGTGTCCCCAGCGACCTGCACACATCCCCCCAGAGAAGGCTACAACTGAACAGCACAGACACTCTGATCCCATGGGGCGTTCATGACTTGTGTGTGGAGACATTCTCAGATCAAGATGAAGTCTAGAGAAAAGTAATGTTCAAGAGAGGCGGAAGCACCTTGGCGTAGCAGGCATTATTGACATACACGGGAGACACACATGATACAATGTACATACTTGGTGATCTGTGTGAAGTCTCAGGAAGGCATCCTTGTAGCCTGTTTGGTGAGGGAGGAGGGGCACAAATAGAGCTTGTGCTCCATGGTTTCTGGGTCAAGGTAAGTGATATTGGGAAGTAAAGAGCTAAGCCTCCAGTACACTGCTGTGATCCCATTCCCACACGCATCCCAACCCTGAGGCTCCTTACAGTCCTAATAAAGAGCAGCTTCCCCTAGGACCCTGAAAGGCCTCCAGAGTGTAACGTTTTCTGGCTTGTTTTCTAGGCAGCTCTGCCTCCTGCTGAATGCAGAGAACATCTTCCACTCGATGGCAGACATCCTGCTTCGGGAGGAAGACCTCAAGTTCGCGTCCACCATGGTGCACACCCTCAACACCATCCTGCTCACCTCCACTGAGCTCTTCCAGCTAAGAAACCAGCTCAAGGACCTGAAGACTCTGGTACTCTCCTCTGACCCCAGGGTTAGGCATGTGGGGGCACAGGACCCAGTTCACTCCTCAGCTGGTCCCAGGAGGGCCACAGGGGAGATGGGAAAAGTGGGAGTCTTCCCTCCCAAGGCCAGGTCACATGCTCTTCCCAATTCCTGCCCCATTATTCACTGTCCCTTTGGAAACAGGCTCTGCTGGTTCTGAATACTCTGCTCAGCAAAGTGCCCTTCTCATGGTAAAAACTGAAATATGCTGGGAAACAAAGGGTTAATTGTTCTCCTTGTGTTCCTCCTTGCTCTGGCCCCTCTCCCACAGCTGGACACATCTGTCTCGTAAAATGCCTGTCATCAGCCATAGTATCTCACTGCTTCCTGTCACAAACTTTGGGCAAGAATGCCCAAAGGTTGGTCAGAAGGAGCAGAGAGACACTGCAAGCCTGGGAGACATTCAGCTCACAGGCCCACATGGTCTGGCCAAGACACTGGGCTTCCCTCAGCTTACAGGAATCATCCTGAGGGCATGATTACCAGGGATTTTTTTCCCAATCTGGGTTTGGGTCATTTTCTCTCTGTCCCCTGCCCAGCATGACCCTACATCAACCCCTCCCTGGGAGTCTCAAAACACTTAAGCCTATGTCTATGAGGACATCTGAGGCCAAGTGGCTTGGAATGATCCAGGCCACAGCCCTGTCTTCCTTCTGTGGTTCCTTGCAGACATTCGCAGAGGCCTTAAGAATTTTCCTCAGGCTCAGGGGCTCCCTAAGTGTGGGCTCATGCGCAGGACTGCTTTCCTGGTACATTGAGAGCATGAGGTGGGCTACCAAAGTAGGGGAAGCTGGGATTTGAAGATCTTTCTCTCCTCCTAGTCCCCAAGGAAACTTCTCCCCCGCCCCAGGCTCTGGGACCACAGAGTTCTGAGAGACAATTACTGTCGTTTTGCCAGCAGCAAAAATGCCAGCTTACAAAGGGTAGGCTCACTTTTGCCTAGACCCTTGCTGCCACTACCACATGGCTCTGTGAGGCCAGGAGGTAATGACAGGGTCTGAGGAGCTGTCAGCATTTCCTTTGTGACAGCTCGTTCCCAGCTGGGCTGCCAAACACAGCCCAGTGCTGAGCTGGCACCCCAGCTGCCCCCAAGAGCCCCATGTCACAGCCCCTCGAGGTCCTTCTCCCCGTTGGTCTTCTGTGGGCCCAGTGACAGGGAGCCAAGCCTTCTAACTGCTGCTCCTCTCCCCCAGGAAAGCCAGAACCTCTTCTGCTGCCTGTACCGCTCCTGGTGCCACAACCCAGTCACCACCGTGTCACTCTGCTTCCTCACTCAGAACTACCGGCACGCCTATGACCTCATCCAGAAGTTGTATCCTATCGCTGTCCTTTAGTCCCCCCCCCCCCCCCCCCGTGAGGCCCAGGAGTGGCCCTGCTGCCATTTTCCTTTACTCAGTTTCCAGGGCTTGGGACATCACCAAGGCCTCCCGCCAGGAGTGCTGTGTGGTGTGGTGTGTTGAGAAAGGAGCTATTATCAGTAAACAGGGCCCCTTTTGACCTCCTGAAGGGGAAGTAAGCCTGGAAAAACTCAGGAGTGGAGACCAGCTGAGTGAGGTGAGCCCCACTTCCTACCTCAGGGAAGAGACAGGCCCTCAGTTCCTGTGTGTCCTGCTAGGCCCTTTTTTTGGATGGAAAAGGCCTTAGTACAAGAGCATGCTGGGAGGAGGGGGGATCTGCAGGGCTGGCTCACACGTTGAAACTTTGGAAACCTCAACAAGGGCCAGGAGCCCACCACACAGACACAGGATGCATGAGGAAGTGCCTCACCAAAAGGCATCCAGAGTCAGAATGTTTTTATCTACCAGGGGAAATCAGAACAGCCTCATCTTTGAACCTGACATATGACCTAGGATCAGAACAGTTTTGGAAAGTAAGACTGACTTGCTGATGTGATGAGCCAGAAGCTGGGGCCATGAAGCCTTCAGTGGAGGGTCACATGTTCTTGCATGGCACACTTCCACAGCCTAAGCCTGCTTTTCTTGCCACTTGTGAGACCTGGAGACCAAGAGCCCACAGGCCAGTTCCTAAGCTTCCCTGGCCTGCTAATTGGCTGTTCTCTCCTGTCCAGCCCTCTCCTGCCTGGCCATAGAGCCACAGTAAGTGTCTTCCTGGGTCCAAGAACACAGGACCGCTGTGGGAGCAAGCCCTAGCACCTATGCAAAAGGTCAGCTGTCCCCCTATTTAGAGGGACAGAAGGGCAGAGACATCTGGCTTCATGTGCTAAATCCCACTCTGAAGGAGCCAGGCAGGCTGCGCACTGGAAACTAGGTCTGGGGGAGGGACATGTTGGGATTCTGAGCCCAAGTCCCAGAGTCCATCCTTCAAGAACTTCTCCTTGGTCAAAAATGTTCCCAGTGAGGAGACTTTCCTTGACCGCCCACCCAGTGGGGACCTGGAAGTCACTGTGGATTTCCTCACAGAGGTGGACAAACTGGTGCAGCTGATTGAGTGCCCCATCTTCACATGTAAGATCGTGTCTCTAACAGGGCTGGAGATCTGCTGTGGCTTCAGCTGCCCTGGAGGGAAAGGGGAAGTATGGGGCCAAGTTGCCACTCTTGACTGAGCTTGGAGAGGAAAACGGGGGCAGTGACCCAGGAGTGTTCTAGAATATCAAGAATGTAATATTAGAGATGGTAGTGAGTGGTGATAAGAGGCCGGCTGGAGTGGGATGGGGTGCAAAGTGTCAGAACTTAGTACTTTTCTGTTTCCTCAAAATGGGTCACATACACACGCCAGTGCTGACATGAAAGCCCATCAGAAGATTAACAGAACCTGCCCTGGAGCTGTCCCTAACTGACACTCCTCCGCCTGCTGCCTCTGCCCTGGCTCTTTAGGGTTCTAGGCAGCCCTTACAGGTACTCCTGCTTACCCAGGAGCTGTGCCCTCTCCTCTCCTGAGGGAGAGATGGCATGTACCAGGAGCCAGTGGGCGAGAGCTGCCTGGTGAGTAACACCCAGGCTGAATGTGCAAAAGTGGCTGGCTGGGCGAGGACAGCTCCTGGCACCTCCACCATGCAGCGCCTGCTCCCCAAAGCGGGCAGCACTGCCAGGAAAACGTGTGTTTACAGTTGGTAGAGAAGCAGGGGCAGTATGGCTGTAGCCTCCTTCCTAGCCTAAGTGGCCACCCGGGCCTCTAGCTCCTTGGCACATCTCTGACCTGAGTGATCAGCCTTTACCCTAGGACCCAAAAGCAAATGCAGAGGCTGAGAGATCCTCCTCTCACTCCCTCACATGTAAAGGACCAGCTGCTCCAAGCAGCAGGTGCTGCAGTGACTCAGGCCTGAGAGACCCTCTTCTCAACCTGTCCGTAATGTGCCCTGCCTAGCATCTCTGTTCCTGAGGGCCCACAGGATGAAAGGGCTCACCTGAAAGCAGGTCTAAGCTTATCAAGAGGAAGCCCCAAACAGCTCCTTCTCAAAGGTGCAAGGCAGGCCTAGTCTCCTCGAGGGCCAAAAGGAAAAAATAACTGGAGGTAGATTCAGGCTTCTCCAGAGCTGTGTACATAGTAAAAAGTTTTTCTAGCCAGGCCATGATAGTACATGCCTTTAATCCCAGCACTCAGGAGGTAGAGAAAGGTGGTTTTCTGTGAGTTTGAGGCCAGCCTGGTCTACAGAGCGAGTTACAGGCCAACCAAGGCTACCTAGAGAAACCTTGTCTTGAACAACAAAACAAAACAAGAAAAGTTTCCCCATGCACACTCCTTGGAGATCAACTCTTCTGTAGCCAACAGAGGTTTCTTCCTGCACCGCAGCCAGCCAAGCACCCTCCAGTGCAGTTTGGCCCTCATACAGCCTAGCTGGAGCTAGCGTCCTGTCTCCCAGGGCCTGCTTTGAGCACCCAGCTGTACATCAGGACACATACAAGCCCTTAGGGTTGATTAGTTTGCTTGAGTGGCTCACAGAGCTCCAGGAGGCACATTCACTGCTCTTAGCATCCTTTATGGCACTGCAGTGGAAATGGAGGAAGAGGAGCGCAACCTCTCCTTACCCAATCCTGAGTTTCGGTGGGAGCTTCATTATTTAAGCATGGTTGATTTACTTTGGCCATTGTTTATCAGCTCAACCTTCAACTCATCAGCACGAAAGACTTTGTTTTAGAGACTCTGAGGACTGTAGGAGTTCTGTGCTGGGAAGCTTGGATAAATATCAGATGTGTGTGTTACAAGATCATGGGTGCCTGTGACTTCTGCCTCTTGGGGTAAGAGGAGGGACAAAGAGAGGCCACCCAGTCCTCTGCTACCTGGCACCAGGGCTTGCTGCTCAGGCTCCCAGCATCCCCCTAGACTCCTTGCCCAACTCCTATTGGGAGGCAAGGCCACTCTCAAAGACTCGGATTCACTCTGGAAGGTGTGGCTCATTGTCTACAGATAATGTCTGCCAAGGTTTAAGATGTGGGAGGAGCAGTGCTACTACAGAGGCCTGGAGAGAAAGGAGAACATTTCTCTCCGATCCGGTCTACCTGTCAGGCCTTAGACAGGATGTAGCTGGCCTTGAGGCTCAGCTGGCCACGAGCAGGTCCAGACTCCTAGGGTTGACATGGATGCTGGGAAGAAAGCAAGAGTGCCCTGCCCTTGCAGGGGTGGGGTGGTAAGTGGCCATGTCTGAGTCGGATATCCAAATTGCCTCCCAGACACTCAGAGCTTTGGTGCGCGCCTCACTACACACAAAGGCATTTTCCCATCCTGCCCTTCCTTAGCAAAGCCCTAATCCACTCTTTCTTTCCAGCTCACCCTATTTATAGCTCACGTGCTGGCACGTGCAGAGCCAACTGGGGAATCTGTTATTCTAAAGCCCCCACCCCCAACCCTCATTACAAGGAAGCAGCTGAGCCTAGGGGAGATGGGCTTAGCCCAACAGCAGGTTTGGGGATCTTAGGCTGAGGGAGCTGCTAGATAGGTCAGTCAAATGGGTAGGTAGGGAGAAATTAGGTCATTGAAATGGCCAAAATTCTCTGGGAAAAGGGCCCCCAGGCCTAGCTGTGGAGGAGCCACTGCATAGCCCTAAGGAAGGTATGTCTCAGCCTAGCAGTGCTAGGTCCAGGTTGCTTCCAGTAGTCTCCCACATGGGCTGGGGCAGGAGACCTAGGCTAATCTACTCCAGAGCAGCACCAGGATCCCTGACCCCTGACTTCTGCCCTGCTGCAGATCTGCGCCTGCAGCTGCTGGACGTGAAGAACAACCCATACCTGATCAAGGCCCTGTACGGCCTTCTCATGCTGCTGCCCCAGAGCAGTGCCTTCCAGCTGCTCTCTCACCGGCTCCAGTGTGTGCCCAACCCTGAGCTGCTGCAGACTGAGTGAGTGCTGGGCCCAGGGCACTGCCCTCTGCCTCTAGGCCTATTCCATGGGAGATCCAAAGGGCTTGCTTAAGTGCCCTGCTCATATGCCCGCTCCCTTTGTCAATTCAACCCTGTTCACCCCACAACTACTTTTCTTTTGTCTTCAGATCCACAGCAGATCCCAAGATGGGAAGTTCCAAGAGTATTTAAGGGGCAGAAATATATAGCCATGCCTTCCCAAGCAGGCTGGAAAGCTCAGGGAGACCAGGCCTGTTTGAGACCTTTGCCCAGGAGAAGCCCCTAGAGTGAGGAGCTCCAGGGATGGAGAGTCAGTGGGTCCAGAGAGCCAGGTAGAGCCTAGTCTTGGGCACCTCACAGGCTTGGACACCTTGCCAGTCCATTCTATGAGATGCTCAGACCTGGCCCTCGCAGAGCCCCAGCATCAGCAGGGCCTTCCCGCCACCATCCAGAGGAATGGGGAGCAAGAATGAACCTGGGCTACTCTGCACGGCTCCTGCTCACAGGAAGACCATGTCTGAGTGGCCCAGCCTGGCATCCTCTGGGCAGGGGGGTCCAAGCTCCCGCCCTGAACCCTCTGCTGGCCCTGGCCCCACAGCCTGTTGGGCTGTGTCTATATTTGGTAACCCTTGGAGGCTTTGCCTCATCCACAGGCATTTGGCATCGGAGATGGAAAATTTCACTTGTCAGGTCACCATGGAAACAAGCAGAGCCACTGAGAAGATTTACGCTGAATGGAGTGCACCCAGCTTGCATCAGCTGCCCTGTGTGTCTAGAATTCCCTCCTAGGCCATTGGAGCCACTCAGCAGGCCTGGCGCCTGGCTGCAGAGAAGGCCTCAGGCGTTTGCCCTCAGGGTAGATGCAGACAACTTCTGGATAGGCCTGCTGCACTCAGGTCTCTGGTGGCTCTTTGTCTTCCAGACCAACCTGATAGGTTGCCCTTGCCTGCTGTCCAGTCCACCATTCCCTTACCCCTTTCCCAGTCAACCCTGAGCTGCATCTGATCAGCTCTGAGTATGAAATATTTGGTGTGCTGAGTGTACCCAGGATCCAGGGAAGCCACTATGGGTTTGGGCTGGTGTCTGGACCCCTCCCAAATGGAGAATCTCCTGTTTGTGAGAGTGGAGAGATCTTGAGGTGATAATACACCTCCTCAGCCTGACCTTTACAGTGACCCTACCAATATCCAGGTAGGTGCTGACGAGGAGGAGGAGGAAGGGAGAAGGTAGCAGGAAGGGCACTGCCCTAGGGGAGGCTTAGGCCAGGCCACAAACCCTACTGCTTCCCAGAGCCCCTTTCTCAGGGTTCTGCTGAAGGGGAGGGAAGGCTGTCCAAGTCAAGGCAAGATAAATCCCAGAGAGAAGCTAGGTAAAAGGGTTTCCTCAGGAAAATCTTCAGCCCAAGGAATGAGGCTTCTGCGTAGAGGACTCTTATGTGGGTCAGTGAATGGTTTCAGGCCTAGAATAGGATCTAGCTCAGGTTCTCCATAGCTCTGCTGTGTAGCCTCAGTCAAATTCCATCCCCTCTCTGGGCTCCTAGTTTCTTGGTAGTTGCACATGTATACTAAATGGACAAGAGGTGCTGGGGTGTTCCCAGCCTTCCAGCTTCTGCAGGGACCTGGGAAAGTTGAATGTAGATATAAGCCTGGAAACAGTGGGTGGGAGGGGACCTCAGACAGCTGGAGGAGGAGTCAGGTTGCAGGGTTGAGGGGCAGAGGAGCAGCTCACACTCTGGAAAGGGGCTGTGGGCAGCCCCAGCCCGGGGTGGGGCAGGCAGGTGGCAGACAGCCGGCTTACAAGCAGAACAGCTGGGGAGGCTCCACCCGTCCCTCCCTGCACTCTCACTAGGGTTTGGGGACCGTGGGTCACTCTCAGACTTTATAACCATCATCAGTGAAGCAAAAGGGGTTCTCTGAAAGAAAAGCTAATAGATATATGGGTAGGATGGCAGGGGAGAGTGCCAGTTCCAGACGTGGGAATCACCACTCCATCCTGCCAGCCAGGCATCCCTGTTACCCAGGACCTGAGGACTGTGGGAAAGCAAGCATGCCGTTGTGATGGGTAAGGGAGATGCTTGTAGTCACAGCACTGGGAGAGTCAGGAGTTCAAAGATGCCCTTGGCTGTAAAGGCCAGCCTGAGGGACATGAGATGCTGTCTCAAGCAAGGCTGGTAATGATGGCTAGGAAGGATGCCCCTACCATAGGGCAGGACAGCTTAAACTCTGGGATCCCAGAGTGCAAGGTACAGCTGCTTCCCCAGCCCCGACTCTGGTATCTTTTTATTCTAGTTTGCTCTCTATTGCTATGAAAAAACACTAACCAAAAGCTACTTAGGAAGAAAAGGGTTTATCTCATCCTTCCAGGTAATAGTCCAATACTGAGGAAAATCAGGGCAGGAACTAAAGCAAAGACCATGGAGAAAGCAGCTTCCTTGTTTGCTCAGCTTGCTTGCTTATACAACCCAGGACCACCTACCCATGGGTAGCACCACCCACATCAATCATGAATCAAGAAATGCCCATAGGCCAGTCCAATGGAGGCAATTCCTCAGTTGAGGTTCCATCTTCCCAAGTAACTAGTTTGTGTCAAGTTGACAAAAACTAACATGAGCATCCTTCAGGCCTTAGTCCCTCTCTAGACCTTTGCCCCAGGTTTGCTAAGGGTGTTGTCAGGACAGCATGTAGACTCATGCCTCATACACACAAACAATGTCATCTCTGTGGCCCCAGATCTCTTCCCCTGTCCCAGATTACGTGGCTTGGAGCACATTGAGCCGCACCCCGACCAAGAGCTACAAGCTCTAAGTCCCTCTGCCCCCTTAGGAGTCTGAATTGTTCCCCAGGACAGTGGTGCCTCTACCAAGAGCTACCAGGCCAGAGAGACCCCTTCCCCCCATTCCCAGGGGAGTCAAACAGCATCAGAAGCCTCCAAATGACAACAAAAGTGGGCCTCCCCAGGCCCTTTCATTCTTCAGGCAACAGTGATCAGGCTCTGGCTCGGGAAGCAGCGGCTCAAGGCCCAGGAAAACATAGGCCACAGATGCTGTCAAAAGTGTTTTCAGGCAGTGTGTGTCCTTGAAAACGAGGAAAGGAGCCATGTGGGCTAGGGTATGGGAGGCAGACTCAAGTCCCCAGACCTCCATCTGGGAGCAGCTGTGCCCTGGTCCTGGCCTGAAGATGGGCAGGTCACAGCACCACCCTAGGGCTTCAGCCACTGGTTTTTCTCGCCTGGCCAGCCTCACCGGGGAAAGCGCCCTTGTGGGAGCTCTGTTGCCAGGTGCACCAGGCCTCGGGCTCTCGGCTCTTGGCTTGGCAGAGCTGTATGTAGCTGCCCATCTCATACCTGAGCTGGAGCTGGACACCAGGCAAGGTTCTTTTGTGTCATATCCCACGCCATGCCATATCTTAGGCTAGGAAATGAAGTTACATGCCCAAGGTCAAATGTCTAGGCCAGGCCTGCCTAGCCTATTTCTTCTGCTGCCATCAGCACCAGCGACGCTGGGGCCTCTTCAGTTCGAAGGTCCCTGGGAGTCTGCTTAGCCGAGTGGGCTACCGTTGTCATGAAACCCTTTGCCAGTGTGCCAGAGTTGGGGGCGGGGAGCAAAACATGAGGATATGCTGGAGGGGCCGTTCGCAATGGGACAGGGACCTGAGTGGCAAGCTAAACAGCTGATGTGAGGCAACCGGGTTGGCACATGGAGCGGTTGGAAGGAGAACCACGTGCACTGTGGATAGCTGCCGCACAGAACAGCCGAGGAGAATGGTAGCAGCAGGAATGTAGGTGCCATCAGCAAGTCAGGTGGTGAGATAAGCTCTTCTTCCCTGGGAACAGGTAGCGACTGCAGGCCTTGGGACCCAGTGCCAAGTTGCGGGTCCAGCAGAGACTTCAGTGATTCCAGCTGTCTGCAGCCCCAGCCATACCGCAGAGAAAAGGCGGGGCTGCCGTCTCCCCCTTCTCCCCAGACCCTGTTCCAGGCCCCAGCTGGCTTCCTGGCTGGCTGCTAGCCCTGGCTCTCACCCCAAAGGGAGCCACTGGTAAACAGGAAATGCTTCCCCATGCAATGCCTGCTCTGGGCTCCATCAACAGCCCACAGGCTAAGAGATAGCCAAGCAGCGGGTTGGCTGTTCCCACCAGCTGCAGGAAAGGGGGTGGACTTGGGACCCCAAGCACTGTGGGTCTGGCTGCTGGGAAGTTGCTGCTGGTCAGGGACACACAGATGCCCAGAAGCTGAATCCCACCAGTACAGACTCTCACTGACTCTCAGACACTGACTCTCACTTCTGTCTGTCTTCCTAGAGACAGTCTGAAAGCTGCCCCCAAGTCCCAGAAAGGTGACTCCCCCAGCATCGACTACACAGAGCTGCTGCAGCACTTTGAAAAGGTCCAGAAACAGCACCTGGAAGTAAGACACCAGCGCAGCGGGCGTGGCGATCACCTGGACCGCAGAGTTGTTCTCTGATGTGCCCGGCACGGAAAAGGGCCCAGGTGGCCCAGGACACACTCAGGGCCTCCAGGCTGAGGCCACAAGGAGCCTGAGAACCTGCCTCAGGCAGGACTGAACCTGACCACCAGCCCAGGGTAGAGAGGGGGCCAGTCTGCTCTGCCAGCTCCAGCCCCTCCCAGCAGAGCACCTGGGCCCCAGCACTGTCAGCTGCACCCTGGCTTGGGACCGATGGCTTCCCTCGAGAGTTGGACCACAGCCTCAGAATCCAGAAGCACCTCTTTCCAAGTCTCCTGTGAGAAGAGCTCGACCTTGGCCCCCAGAGCACTGGCATGGTGTATATGCTCATGTACATCTGTGTGGCTAATGTGCACAGGCCAGCACCAAGACCTCTGCAGAACAGTGCCCATCCCTGACCCAATAAAGACATGACAGAATCCTTAACCAAACCTGCCTGCTCCTTCTTGCTGGCACTTAAGCCTAGGCTGATACTGCAGCTGTCCTGGAAAGCTAGCTTCATTCTGGGCCCTGATGGGGTTGTGAGTCCTTCCCAGGACTAAGCACCTTCCTCTCGGCTCCACTCCCATTCATTAACCCTGCTTTCCTATTCCCTGTGCAATGTGGATGTCCACAGGCAAGATAGCACAGCAGGACGCTGCAGATCACAGAGCAGGGGGGTGGGGGTGGGAAGCAGTCAGAGATAGATGCCCCAATCTTTGATTTAGCTCAAAGGATCTCTGCCCCTGTCGCCAGGCTTTGGGCCCTCTTAGCCTGGCCTTCTAGTAAACCCCTAGTTGCCTGCTGCAGCCCGTTCGGTCTCCAGGAGCTCGTGCTTGCTTTTCCCTGGAGCCCTGACTGTATCCCCTCTGAGAGCAGGTTCACCTGGAGTCTCCAGGACGACAGCAGCATTTGCCCTCGCCCACGTGCACCTGCATGCGTCCCCACAAACTACACTCTGCAGGCCCGATAAAGACCCCTACTCACGAGGAAGTTGGGCGGGGACACCATCACTATTTCCACCCCCAATCCAGGTGGCATCGGCACCACTTAGGAAAGAAACGGAAGGACATTTGTACAGGAGGGTTGGACTTTATGAATGGCCTGTGGTGGGCAGCTCCAACGCAGCCAGTTCCCCGCTCGCCTCTGTACGCCTGCTAGGTGCTACCAATCGCTCAGACTGGATGCGCTGAGGACCGCATCGCGGCGGGGTTCACCTTTGGCGAGGCCAAGGCTTTGAAGGTGCAAGCGGGGGGGGGGGGGGGGCTGGCCGGGCCCCGCCCCTGCGCCGCCCCGACCCGCGGTGGCGCCCGCGCCCGCCGGCCCCTCTCGCCCGACCAGTCTGGCAGCGCCAGGGCTCGAATTTCAAAGCCCTGGTCCCTGGCCGTGAATGGGTCCGCGCCCGCCCGGCCTTTCCCACAGCCCCCTCCCGCGCTCCCTCCCCGCGGCCCTCCCTCCGCCGCGCCCACGTGACGCCCGAGCCTCGGCGGCTCGGATTACCGCCGCCGCCGCCGCTCCAGTGCCCGCGCCGAGGCTGCGCCGCGAACTGCCCGCGCCGCGCCCCCAGCCCCACCGAGCCATGGCCCGCGCCGCCCGCCCACGGCCCGCAACCCCGGAGCGCGGCGCCGCCGGCCGCTGAGAGCGCGGCCTTGAGGCGGGAGCCCCG